ATAGTTGATTCACAGTGTTGTGTTAGTTTCAGGTGTGCATCAAAGTGATTCAGTTATACATATAAATACATACATAAATATTCTTTTTCAGATTCTCTTTCATTATAGGCCTTCCCAGTGCTTTTTTCTTTGTTACAGCTGGTTCATTTGAATCAGGATCCAAACAAGGCTGAGATTTGGAAATTGGTTGAGAACTGTCAGCTTGGTTCTGTGATATTTCTCCAGTGACTTCTAGTAACTTGTATTCAGGGTTCACAGTTGAGTTTGACTAGGGATGAAGTGTTGCCAGGTAAGGGTGATCAAGGGAAGGCAGCCAGGGATTTCAGAAGTCTCTCTATGACGATGGACCAGTGACTTTAAGCTGGTTAGAAGGGATGAAAGATTTTGAGGTTCGCTAGAAGGTGAGAAGAGAAGTAGGGTGAGTGGATTGGATGTCTCAGCGAGGTTGAGGCTTTGTTGACGTGCCACACACCAGGTGAGCGGGAAGAAGAGGGGCAGCTGGGTGCAGGTCTTGTGCCTGACGTTTGAGTTGTCCTGGAGAGTGTCTTCTTGGTGATGATAGAGATCTGGGCTAGGGTCCTGGTATGTGTTAACTGAGGTGAAATAAAGGAAATGATTGTTGTGGATGAGGAGTCGAGGAACTACGAACATTTTTGAAGTATTTTCTTCCTTTAATTTCCACGCCTGTGCATTCACTTCTTCATTCTTGTTCCTCTTCTTCCTGCTCCTCTGTCTACTTTTCCGATGCAGATTTCCTTGTCCTTGCTTATCCTTTTAATGATGTTATTCCTCAGGCTCCTTTCATCTCATTCTTTTTAGTCTACCTTGAAATCATACTCACTTCTGTGTTGATAACTTACATCACGTAGCCAACAGACGCCTTACTCCAGAACTGCTAACCTGGGGATCAGGAGTTTCTTTTAGATGCGCTGTAGTCCCAAACTCAACATGTTTGCACAAGTGAACTCTCTCCGCCCTCCTCTCTCACTTCCTCTGAACATCCTCTTTCTTCTCTCTTTCCTATCTTAGTAAGTTAATGTAGCTAGCTAATATTTATTGGTTATTTATTATGTGGAAGGCAGCATGTTGGGTGTCTGGGGTTCAGTGTGAAACACGACACGTGAGCCCAAAGTCATCCATTGCAGTGGGGAGACCTACACTTGCCGTGCCCTGGCTGACTCCTGTTTGTCTTTATGTTTCAGCTTTGATGCCACTTCTGGGGCCTGTCCCTGTCCTCCCAGGACTAGCTGTAGCTCCCTTCCTTTTTGTTTCCCTTTACCTGCTCCGATTGCTTGTTGGTTTTACTAGGTTTTGAACTACTTGGAGAGCAGGAAACCTGTATTATTCATTGTATTGTTGCTGCCGATCACAGTGTGCGCCTAGTACATGATCGACACTTGATAAATACTTCTTTAAGGAATGAATGATTCAATCTGCAGTTTACACAGATCACTCTAACAGCAGTCAAGTTCATCTTAAATTCTCGTACAGATATGGCAGGTGCTCACAGAACACAGCCACGTATGACTGTTGCTTATTTGTTTTTACCAGGTGGTAGATTTTGGTTGTCCTACTGTAACTAATTTCATTGCCTCTTTCATTTACTTCTGGATTTTCTTCATTGACAGCATTTATAAATACAGCCATTTTCAAATAAAGGCAAGAATGCAGATGTGGTACCTTAGTTAACAGTTGATAGTTTAATTCATGAATTATTATTTAGGTAAGCAGAATTGTAAAGATTTTTAATATTTGCTTGTCACCCATATTTAAAAGCCTTTCATTAAATCACTGTTTCCCCGCAGGAAATCCTCGGAGTGCCTCATGCATCTGAACAGAGATATGATGCTGAATTCTTTAAGAAGTTCAGAAATCAGAATATTGTTCTCTCAGCAAGAACTTACGCTCGGGTAATTTCTTTTTTGTAAATTAAACAATTATGGTTATTAACACTAAGTCTCTGAGCCATGCAGCTAATGTTATTGCATGGGTAGATCATCACATTTCCTTGTTTTGTTGTAAGATTAATAAATGTAAAGAAAATAGAGTCATATTAAAAAAATTTGTATTCATCATTCTGAGTCTTAAAAATAATTTTTATAACATTAGATTGAGAAATGTGATACAGACCTGGAAAAATCAGTATTTCAAAGTACTTCATACCAGAACTACAAAAAGTTAATTTTAAAGTTTTGAATGTCCTACAAAATCACTCCCTTATTTCTAGGGTTCACATTAGAAAGTCACCCTTGTCTTTCGCACAGGAAAGTAATGTACAAGCCTTAGAAATTCTGTTCACTTACCATGGATCTGACCTGCTTCCTCATCGCCTTGCAATTCTCTCCAACTTCCCGGAGACCACTTCTCCACACGAATATTCTATTTTGCTGCCTGAAGCTTGGTATGTACTATGTTCACTGAATTTTACCTTTTTTCTAAATAATAATTTTTGTTTCCTGCTAAACACCTTAAATTAAAAAAAATTATCTTAATGTTATCTATTAATTTTTTTTCTGATTATAACATTATTTCTTATTTTTATGTGGTCCTGAAGCCAAAATATGTCTAGCATAACAGGAGCACCTTAACTTAAGGAACATGAACTTTCCTTTTTTTGGAAAGTCTCCTGATTTTATGGCTAGGTACTCAGTATGTTCTGTTTTATGATTAAGAGCCATTTTTAGGATAACAATATCTGTTTGAATTAGTTGTATCTTTAGAAGCTCAAGTATAGTTCTGACAGTGTTAGGTAGTGGGTCCAGGGCACCCAGGAATGTCTGAATCCTGCTTCTCTCGAGAACCCTTTCTCCCTATGAAATTCCAGAGGCACAAAGACAAATGAGAAATCAAAGCACCACTTTCCTATTAGACTAACATTCCTTCTCTCAGTTCAAGGCTGTCTCATAATTGGGTTGTGACATGTGACACAGACTCTAAGAACAATGGAACCGTTATGTCCCAGTGGAGCCGTCTGGCTTCCAAGGACCAGAACCGCACTTCTTGAGAATGAAGAAAAGACAATATACAGTTGACCCTTGAACAGCAAGTGTTCAAGCTGTGCAGTTCCACCTACGCATGGGTTTTTTCAGTAGTAAATACTACAGTGTGACATGGTCCTTAGGTGGTTGGATCTGAAGATATGCAGCTGCATGTACAGAGGAACTGACCATGTTATATGTGGATTTTCAACTGCTCGGAGGGTTGGCACCCTTTCCCTCTCTGTTGTTCAAGGCTCAGCTCTGCCTTAGAGCGTAGCTCAAAGTTGGGCAGGTCATCAGCTGCAGGCCTGAATGCCGTGAAGAGCTGTGCAGAGCACACCTTGCTTCTCTCAGGCCCTGCACAGAAGCGGAAGGCAAGGACATACCCGTCGTGAGACCTCTCCCATCCAGTGAACTAGCCCCCGAGTAAACGTGGCTTGGTCGTTAATTGCATGATTAAGCCTTTCTGAATTTGTTATCCGATCTTAAAATGAGTTGATACTCCCTGTCCTAGTCACTCATACTGCATATTTTCAGTAATAGGTAAATTGATATGTATGAAATCGGCGCATAAACTATAAGACGCAGTGACGGATTAAGACAGTTCTGTTTGAAATCGTTACAAACTCCAGCTCCTGGCAACTGACAGTGTTGCTTAGATATGTTGCTTAGACAGACTTTGAAAAGACTCTAATTCCTTATGAGTCCTTAACTTATATTCGTTTTAAACGTATTTAGAAAATACAGATTTTTTTGCTAATCTTTGTCAAGAAAAGTCTTTCACGTTGAGTATATTTTTGCTATAGTTAGAGTCAGAAGGAACAATAGGTTTCGATAGTAATGTCTCTCTCTCTCCTTATAATTTTATGTGACTGGAAAGCAAAACCACAGTTATGTTTCCGGCGTGGCCTCTTAATGAGGTCTCCCATAACCTCCTTCTCCTGTATTCTCCTAACTTGTTCATTCTTGTGGTAACACTTCCTACACTGTGTTACCGTCAGTCATTTTTATTATTGCCTTTCTCTTTCTTCTTCTCTTTAACAAACTCCCAGCCTTAAAAACAGTCTTTTTTTAAGATTTTTTGTTTTGTTTTGGTGGAGGAGATAATTAGGTTTATGTATTTATTTTTAATGGAGGTACTGGGGATTGAACCCAGGATCTCATGCATGCTAGGCATTCACTCTACCACTGAGCTATACCCACCTTCTCAAACACACTAACTCTTAACGGCAGAGACCATCACTTCCTGAGTTTTGGGTCCCCAGGGCCTAGTGTGGTGTTTGTGTGGTGGGTTCTCCAAAGATGCTTGCTAACTGGGTAAATTAGATCCATTTGTGCCTGTTCAAAAGAGAGATTAAAGGATGTCTTGAAGGGGTTGCAACAGAATACTCTTTTGCCTGTTAGCATGGGAGGCGCCTGGGGTAGTATTTCCAAGGCCCCCATGGCCTTAAAGATTCAGTTGCTTTTTGAGCCCAGAGTTGAAGCTTGCATTGTCTTACCCCACAGTCTTACTCTACTGGACATGCAGATCCACAGGATGTCATCTTAGGGCTTACTTTGTTTCTGAGGAAGTGTGTTCTTCTTTGGGTGTTCGGTATGCATTGTCAGACCACTTGGAAGCGCTGGGTCAGATGGACACACAGTGCTTGGGACGTGAACTCCGTCCTGCGCTCACCGGCTCCCCGATGACCGAGGCCCTCCCGTCTGCCTGTGCCGCGGTCGGGGCTTCAGATCCAGCCGGACACGTTCCCTTCGGCAGGAGCCCTCGCGTGTGCTCTGCACCCTCCCAGGACCCCTGCTTGCAGGCCTGCGCGTTCACACTGAGCGGAGGTGAAAGGGCTCTAGAGCTGCAGCCCGTCCTGCTTCATCTTCCCTTCCTCCCCCAGCTTGTGTTCTGCAAGTAGTAATGACTTTAATTATCTGTTGAATTGATTTGAAACAAGTCACTCACCTTGAAATGTACGGCTCCCGAAGGCGGAGTGGCTGAGTGGCTGTGTAGCTGTTCCGGCTTGTCCGGAGCTTGCTGCAAGGATACTTGGTCCAGTGCCTGCTCGCTCCTCTCGGCCACACAGGCCTGTGTCTGTCCGCTGAACCTGCCAGGCCTGCTGCCATCAGAGGGTGTTTCCAGGTCGGGGTGTCCCCTGCCGGGCATGCCCTTCTCCCGAGTTTTCACGTGACTGGGCCTCTTCCATCCCTCAGTCTCCACCCAGAGGCTCCCTCTTCAAAAAGGCCTTCCCCGACCCTTCTTTTGTGCATTGCCTCCACGCCCTCCTCTCTTTTGCCCTTATCAGAACTTTTTCTTTGCAGCACTTAAACCTAACATATTTTGTGGTTATTCATGTGTCTTCTCCACTTTATCTGCTCTTCCTTGGCCATTCTCTTTATAATTTTATCCTGGCTTTAAATCCTCCTTCCCTGCTTTATTTTCTTCTTAGCATTTATCAGTAACTTAGTCTGGATTTTACTTATTTACTCGTTTATTGTCTGCTTGCCCTTTTAGAATGTCAGCTCCTGTAGCGCAGGGATTTTTATGTGTTTTCTTCCCTTCCCTACCTAACCCTGCACTTTGAATCCTGCCTGGCATGTGAGAGGCACTCAGTAAATACTTGTTGAATGAATTAACAAATGAATGCGTGAATTAATGTAAAATCCACAGGAGAAGGACTTTGTGTCTTGTTCACTAACGTAGCCTCAGTGCCCTGGAGGACGTTAGGGCAAAGCGGTAACTCAGTAACTTGTTTTGAATGGATGGAAGGGTGGGCTGGCTTTACATTTTAGGTTTCAAGCTATTCAGTATTTTGAAAAGCAGTAGTAAGTTATGCCAGCAAGTTGATCTTTTACTTACTCTGTTTTGAGATCCCATTGGGAGAGTTTTTGCTGGGCATTTAACCGAAGTTTGATTAACTCATTTTGATTGAGCCAAATTTTATGATTATGATTGCTGGGAAACTTCTTCGGTTTGTGTTACTTTAGTGTTTTATACTGTCATTCTTAAATCATCATGTGTCTTTGACGTTGTTGACATGTGATCAAGTTTTATAAAACTTTGAAATTACATTTACTGTTGTAGGTGATACAGCTGTGTTAGCTACCTGTCCTTGCTTGTCATTACTGTAAAACGTTTGCACTTGATACTCTGGTTGACTGTTTTCAAATTCAAAGGTGATGCTTCTTACTGTCTGTGTTAGCATTCTTATTTGTGGTAAGAGTTCTCTTTTGGTAAAAGAAAGAAATATATTTTTTGACTTTTACTATTTTTGATGCTTATAGCATGTTTTAGAATGTTGATTTAGATTTTTTGTTATGGCTTTTGTTTTATTGTAAAACCTTTCCAGAATGATGAAGGAATCTAGTTTAAAATGTTGTATTTTAAACAGTTTAAATGTTGTATTTTAAACAGCTGTCTATAGAAATAGTATAGCAGAGGAATAAGAGCATTGACTCTGGCTAGAGCAAAGTTGCTTAGGTTTGTGATCTTGAACACGTTTCTTAACTGCACCTCAGTCTTTTCACCTGT